GAACTATGGACAATGTTACCAAAGACCCAACATCATCACAGAGAACTACGGAGAACCCCAGTGAAATAGACCTCAACAGGTGTCTGGCATTGGCCATGATTCTGGCTTCCCAAAGGAGCAGAAGTAACCACTGTGCATGAGTTCCCATAAATGTCTATGCCCCACCAGAAATATCTACTGCATATCAGGAAATCCATCAAATTGCCACTGTCCTCTTCATTTCTGCCATTAAGTATGCTTCAAACACAACATCTCAGAACGTGCTCGAATAACTACCTTCAAACTCTGAATTGTGGTTTACTCCCTAATTTAACCCTCAGTCATTATTCCTTTTAGTATATTCCCAAGTATACCTCTTATGACACCCCTGATTTTGAAGACTTCTAACATCTACCTGTCAGTAGAGGGACATGCCCAGCCGATGATAACAGCTAGTCCTTCAGAGCCAACAGTGGGAGTCAGCCCACTCTTGATAACTAATTGAACCAACACCAACCTCACAAGGACCATTATTCTATCCCCCACAGCATTTAACAGCATATTGTAGCTCTGAAACAACGGAGGCAATGACCAACAGTTCACAATTGCCTATTTCTTACCCTCTGCTTTGCTTCACCCAACTGTAGGCAGGTTTTCCCCCACCCACAGCCCATAAATTTTCGCTTGCACCAAGTTTAAACAAGCATACCGGTGAACTTGTTGTCCCCTTAATAGTTCAGTTTGAGAATCTGCTGACTATGGAGAAAAATATTCCAGCTGGGCAACCTGATCATGTACCTACAGCCCCACATCTCTTTCCCTCCTCATCCACACAGTCCCTGCCAGGCCTGACCATCTCTGCCTGTAAAGGTCTGTTCTGATTGATGTCTGATGCTTGCAGATTTCTCAGATCAGAATGGTAGATAATTTCCCTAATATGAGCACCATCGACATGATGAGACATCATGACGGAGTCTGGCTTCCTGTCTGAGAGGCGGCAGGTGACGTCCCGGCGCTGGGACTGCCGGCCACAGTGGGCGAGGCAGGAGCCAGCCTGGTGCAAGGGTGTGGGCGGGCCCCTGGACAAGGACGTGGTCTCTTCCACAACCGCCATATTGCCCACCCCAACCTCCCCGCCCCCTTTCCTGCTACTAATTCACAATGAAGCCTGTGCCTCATCGTGCCCAGTGGGGATCCCAGACTGCTCCAACCTGTCCTTCCCCACCCACCCCTGCCCGTGGGTAGGGGCGGCAGACTTTATGGATGTCAGTGGTCTAAAACCAATCTGCCTGGAGGGCTGGGTGGGGTTTGCACCAGGAGACCTGGATCCCTGGAGGCAGTCGAGGGGCGGGGTCCAAGTGGTCCTGGGTCCTCCCAGGACCCACCCATCAGCTGGGATGCTGTGACATTCAGCCCTGCCTGGGGGTGATGGCCTCTCCAGCATCCATGGCTTTTGGAGGAGGGCAGCTACTGTGCCCACCCTCTGTGCCCTTCCCAGCTTTTCAGTCTGTCGCCATCCTATGGCCAGTGCTCTGCGGATTTCCAAGCCCCTCTGCAGCAGCCCCTGGAGGAATGGGGGTTGCAGCTCTAAGACTCCTTCACTGGCTGACCACAGTGGCCGCTGTTCCAAGGACATGAGAGGGAGAGAAGGGCCATCCTTACTGAGGTTTAGGATGTCAGCCCATCATGTGATTTTTTTTTTTTCTTTCTCCCCAGTTTTGGGAAGTGATCAGTGATGAGCATGGGATCGACCCCACTGGCAGTTACCATGGAGACAGTGACTTGCAGCTGGAGAGAATCAACGTGTACTACAATGAAGCTGCTGGTGATTATTTGAATGTTTTTTGCCCAGTCAAGCTTGCTTTGCATACTATGGCAGACGGAATGGATGAGGAACAGATAAATGACAAAGAGATGCTTCTTGCATTCATTTTAAATGTCAACTGCTAAAAAACGACATGTTAGATAGTTCCTCACGACTCCTGCATGTTGGCCATGACTAAGCATGCCATTATCCCCTCTTCTGAGGCAGAAAAGCACCTCTGTTTGCTCACTTTTGTGTCGGATGCTAGAATTTTCTCTAATGATTCTGCTGTGAAAGGCCCATAGGGTACAACCTTGTCTGTGATGCCTTTGCCGGCTGCACATCTAAGTCGGGCTCTGTTCCCCACAGGTAACAAGTACGTCCCCCGGGCCATCCTGGTGGACCTGGAGCCGGGCACCATGGACTCCGTCAGGTCTGGGCCATTCGGCCAGATCTTCAGGCCGGACAACTTTGTCTTCGGTATGTAGTCGTGATCAGTGCCAGCTGGCTCAGTGAGTCTCCCTTCTCAGCACTGTGCAAATCACCGCTCTTAGGGTTGCATGCCAAGGTAGAGACTGTGTGTCCACAGAGAGCCCTGGGTCCTGGCCTGATTCCACCGAATCCTGGGGCAGCCCCTTCTCTGGGCAGCTCAAGGAACAGTGTCAGCCTGCAGAGGGCCCATATCCCCCCCGCCCCCCGCCCCCACCACCACCACCACCACTGCAGAGGAGACTGTGACCGGTGAAGAATACAGAGCAGTGGCTAACCTTGCAGCAGGAGTTGATGGGCTGCAGGTGATGTCAGAGGACCAGGGCCCGCAGGTAACCATGTCAGGAAGCCAAAGGCCAAAGGTGCAGGTTATGACCAGAGTGGGACCAGCGGCTTGGAGCCCATCTTCTCTTCAGATCATAATGTGCCCTTGCCCTTGCCCATTTATGGTACCTAATGTAAATATTTACAGAAGGTTCCTGTTCCTAATTTTAAAACCAGTCCAGTTTTGGGATGCCTTGGTTAAGCGTTTGCCTTCAGTTCAGGTCATGATCCCAGGGTCCTGGGATTGAGCCCTGAGTCGGACTCCCTGCCCAGCAGGGGAGTCTGCTTCTTCCTCCCGCTGTGCCACTACTTGTGCTCTCTCTCTAGCTCAAACTCTCTTTCAAAAACAAAACAAAACAAAACAAAAAACCCAGTTGGGTTTTGCTGAACCATCTTGTTGATCAGTTAATAACTGCATCTGAACCAAACTTGCTTTTTATCTTATTATGATGTCCAGTGTTTTTGAGGATCATTGATGTATAGAAAATTTTCCATAGTCAAAAAAGGGTATCTAAAAGAGATGAATCTGCAAACTTAAGATTAGTCTACAGTCAGATGACAGAATTCAGAATTCCTAATGTTTAAGTGTCTAATATTCTCCTTTCCATCTGGCAGGCCAGAGTGGTGCGGGAAACAACTGGGCAAAGGGTCACTACACAGAGGGAGCCGAACTGGTGGACTCGGTCCTGGACGTGGTGAGGAAGGAGTCGGAGAGCTGTGACTGTCTGCAGGGCTTCCAGCTGACCCACTCGCTGGGGGGCGGCACGGGGTCCGGGATGGGCACGCTGCTCATCAGCAAGATCCGGGAGGAGTACCCAGACCGCATCATGAACACCTTCAGCGTCATGCCCTCGCCCAAGGTGTCCGACACAGTGGTCGAGCCCTACAACGCCACCCTGTCCGTGCACCAGCTGGTGGAGAACACGGATGAGACCTACTCCATCGACAACGAGGCCCTGTACGACATCTGCTTCCGCACCCTGAAACTGACCACCCCCACGTACGGAGACCTCAACCACCTGGTGTCGGCCACCATGAGCGGCGTCACCACCTGCCTGCGCTTCCCGGGCCAGCTGAACGCCGACCTGCGCAAGCTGGCCGTGAACATGGTGCCCTTCCCGCGCCTGCACTTCTTCATGCCCGGCTTCGCCCCCCTGACCAGCCGGGGCAGCCAGCAGTACCGCGCGCTCACGGTGCCCGAGCTCACGCAGCAGATGTTCGACTCCAAGAACATGATGGCCGCCTGCGACCCGCGCCACGGCCGCTACCTGACCGTGGCCGCCATCTTCCGCGGCCGCATGTCCATGAAGGAGGTGGACGAGCAGATGCTCAACGTGCAGAACAAGAACAGCAGCTACTTCGTCGAGTGGATCCCCAACAACGTGAAGACGGCCGTGTGCGACATCCCGCCGCGCGGCCTCAAGATGTCGGCCACCTTCATCGGCAACAGCACGGCCATCCAGGAGCTGTTCAAGCGCATCTCGGAGCAGTTCACCGCCATGTTCCGGCGCAAGGCCTTCCTGCACTGGTACACGGGCGAGGGCATGGATGAGATGGAGTTCACCGAGGCCGAGAGCAACATGAACGACCTGGTGTCCGAGTACCAGCAGTACCAGGACGCCACGGCCGATGAACAGGGGGAGTTCGAGGAGGAGGAGGGCGAGGACGAGGCTTAAGAACTTCTCAGATAAATCGTGCATCTTTAGTGAACTTCTGTTGTCCTCAATCAAGCATGGTCTTTCTATTTGTATACTATGGTGCTCCGTTTTGCTCTGTCAGAAATTCACACTGTTGATGTTATAATGTGGAACTCCTAAAAATTACAGTATTGTCTAAGATATCTATACTAATAAAAAAGCATGTGTCCAAAACTTCGTGGTCTCTTTAATTTCATTTAAGGCAATTCTTATTCTTCCATTCTAATTCTTATTCTTCCATTGGATGCTTCTTAAATATGTTTCTGGGTAACTTTAACAAAACTAGGATTTCTGCTTTAATGTTTTTAATTAATAGCCTTTCTGCTCTTTTAGGGAAGACAAGTGAAGAGACAAATTTTTTCATCTTCACAGGCCCAAACATGAAAGTAAAGGAACCCAGGAAATGTGTTGAGTGAATAGAGATTTAAGGACAGAGCAAACCTGCCTACCTTATTTGCTGTAGTTCCAGCAACTCTTGTGAAAATGTAGTATCAAGGGCCCTAAGCAAGGGCTTTCTTCTGTTTCTCTACTTTGACAATGTGATAAATTGAAGTAAAAAGACCCGTGAATACCTCTCAGATGAAAGGGACAGCATAATTCTAGAGTCAAGGTATCTGAAATCACAGTCATAAATACTCCAAAGGCTTCACCTAAGGTTCACTGGAGAGAAAGTGTATCAGAATCAGAATGGTAGAAATTCACAACTCTAATGTTAAAAAAATCAGCTTTAATTTTTGTAGCACTTAGAACTAGAAAACATTTTAATATGTCATTATTTCTATTTGACCGGGAGCAGTTTGCAGGGAGGTATAGAAAGCTTGGGGAGGCAGGTGAGCTGAGGGACAGCAGTGTGTTTCTAAGGCAACAACAGGCTCGAGCCCCACAGTAAGGAATCCCCAGGTCCCTGCTGTTCTCAGGGATATTTTCCCAACAAGAAGTCTTCTGCTAACTTATTGAATTCATTTGCAAAACGTAGGTGCAGGTTGTGCTTGCCTTCCGGCATCAGATGCAACCTAAAAAAAAAAAAAGTTTGTGATTAAATGGCACATCATTTAAAACTCTAAATCTTTCTAACATTTGGTGAAAGTCTCAAGTAAAAGCCTGCCTGATTTTTTTTTTTTTTTTCCACAATGACTACTGGGGAGGAAAGGTAAGGTACGCAATATAAACTTTCCCTGAGTGTAGACGTTGAGGGAAAGAGCTGCTTGGGGCATTTACAGCCAAACTGGGGTTGACTTAACAGAGCATACACATTGTATTTGGAATTTGGAACTGTATCATGTAGCAAATGGTTTGACTTTAAATCTGAGAGTAGGGGATGTGATTTGGTCATTACCTAAGAGGGGAAACCCCATTTTAATAAGGTTGATTTTAAGAGAGAAGGCTGGAGAGCCAAGAAAAATATGAAACGTCCAGAATCCACTGGACTGTAACAGGTGAGCTTTCTCGGATATCCTAGAGTGAAAGCCCAGATCAGAAATTGCAGCTCCCAGCAGCCTGCCATTTAAGGTTCAGAACCACCCTGTCACTTTTGCAGGATTGAAGAAGTCTGAATAGAAGCCACACACAAAGGGCAAGTAAGTATTCCTGGGGCCCATGAGGGCAGCTGGGGCCGGCCTCAGCAACTCTTTGTTCTGCAGCTGTCACAACATGTCTTGTGGCAAACCTCACTGTGCTCATAAGACTTCTTTCATAAGCTTTTGGTCAACTGTGGCTGGTTTGCAATTTCTTGAATATAGTCAGTCTTCTTTGAGTTCTATGTTTTATTTATTGGCTATAAAAGTGCAGAAACAAAGTGTTCATCAAAGCTTCGAGGATATAGGCACAAGTTCAAGCTCTTTGTCTATAATAACAATGGGACATTAAATGGATCCTATTGGGGCAAATGCCAGTTACTATACCGCCGAGTTCTCTGATCTTTCAACAACTGGGGGTTGAGAGCTCTAAGAACTTCAGGGAGGACTTGTAGGGTCAAGGAGCTGGGGGAATCGAGCTGTCCTTGGACAACGTTGGGTCCCCTGTAACTCAACCATGTGGGGTGTGGGGTAGGGGTACCTAGACACGTGATTATCTACTTGAAAGAAGGATATATTGCTGGCATTTTCTGAGGCCCTTGGAAAAGCTAATACTGCCATTAATAACAGCCAGAACATTCCAAAGCCAATTTCAATGTTGTTCAGGGAAAAAAAAAGGATCAGCCACACCAACCCCAAAGACAGGATCCCAGTTGCCCTACATAAGGAGCAGGGCTGGTAGGGATGCTCAGGGCCTCCATTTTTAGAAGGCAGAAAATAAGCAACTGCCAAGGATACTGAGAGCTGACAGAAGGACATGTTTAGGTTAAACTGTGTCCCCTAATGCGTGCTAAGCTGAACTTTGAAGCAGAGGGACCCTGACCTACCAAAGCTGGACATCCTCTCTGTGGGTAGCCAAGCTGGTTATCACAGGTCCCACCCCATTTCTACAATTTGCTCAGATTCCCAACAAGGAAGGAGAGATACCAGCTGTGCATCTCTTCTTTTTAGCCTCAGTGTATCTGCACTATTCCTATGGTAATCTCTAAGTCTTAGGGAAATAAAAACCAGGTCCCCTTCATTAAAAATACGGGAGGCCCATTTTCAGGCATCTACATTTAGAACTGCAATGGACTGTAGATAGATGGATGGATGGATGGATGGATGGATGGATGGGGATATAAAGGAAATTCTTCTCCTTGATATGTTTTGGGGGTTATTTCAAGGTCCTCAGCATATCCTCATTCTTTAGGTCTGAAACAGGATTCACTATACTTAAAACCTGTCATGTGTTCCTCTTTGGGAACAGTCCCCTGGACAAGCTGTCAGGGCAATGTAGCGATGTACTGCTGAGGTAGGTTCTCACCCAAATAACAAAAGGAACTAATCACATGCTCCATGGAGGGTGGCTTTCAAACAATCGTGTTTTCCAGGAAAAGTAGTAGCAAGTTCCCCACCATCAAACACATGGTGCAACTGGAATGTAGGGGCCTCCGTGGGGGCAAATACAAATTCCTATTTCCTGGGGGCAGGTTCCTGCCTGCATTTGGCACCTTCGGAAGAAGAGATTTGATTCTAGATCTTCTGAGGAGCTAAAATGTGTCTGACCTTACAGTGTAAATTCGATGGTCACTTTACCTGGGCTTGGGAAGGGTCCTCCTAGGATGCTCCTTACAGATGAGGTGGCCAAGGACAAACACAGTGCCTGCACCATACAACCTTTCCTTCCTCAGTCTAACCCTCGACAGCTTTCAAATTAAGCTATGGGAGCTACAGACAGGAGCAGCCCCTAAGTGACGTACCATAGCATTTTTTTTCTTCATTTTCGATGTGATAAAACTCTAGTGGTATCTGAACCCACCAAGCTGCTAGTCCAGTCTGCGAGCATTTTTGTTTTAGTTGCAAACCAAAGTGGGCTGTGGGTTCTTTGTACCTTGATCTCTTCCACGGTGACAACTGGACAGCCATGTCGCTAACAGGGAGGACTGGTCACTTTTAGACATTCCTTCCAGGACTATCCAGACCTGGATGCTGTTTCTAACAGCATCTCTTTTTAATTCTTCATTCTCAGGGCACCTGGGTGGCTCAGTCGGTTAAACATCCGACTCTTAACTTTGGCTCAGCTCATGATCTCAGGGTCGTGAGATAGAGCCCTGCATCAGGCTCTACACTGGGCATAGAGCCTGCTTGGAATTTTCTTTCTCCTTTTTCCCTCTGCTCCTCCCCCCACATGTTGCACTCTAAATAAATAAATGAACAAACAAATACATAATTAAATAAATATTCTTAATTCTCTGTTCCTTTCAGAAAGCCCATCTAAGGAAAGGATAATAGTGGGTAGGCCACAATCCCCCTCAAGCTGGCAAAAAAGGCATGTAGAGCACAGCTTCCCAGCCTGTATCCTCTCCAGCAGGCTCTCCCCCTCAGCCTGAGAGCCCAGCAGATGTTTGGGAAAGGGAAGTAGACTTCTGAGAAGTTTCTTCTCTCAAATGCAACCAACATCTCAAGCATTAGAAAGAAACCAAACCGTCTTAGCGGCAGCTTTTCTGGCAATGGCGTATCTAGGAGGGGGACACCTCTGGGCTGTCCTGGTCTGCCAGATTGATGCTTTTAACTCGCATATGGAGAAGCCAGCCTTGCCAAACCTGTGGGATGGCAGGGGCCATGCTGGGGCCTTCCAACTGGACTGAGAGCTTGGAGTCACAGCAGAATGTAATCGGAGGTTGTATCACAGGGTTAAAGGCATGGGCTGTATGGGGTCAGGACATGTCCAGTCTGATCAATGTAGGATTCAGGCTGGCAAGTTATTTCATCTCCCTGAGTTATACTTTCTCGTCTGGAAAAGGGGGGACAAGAAACAGCTTCTAACCCCACAGGGTTATTCTGGACAAAGTGATAAAATGCACATAAAGCACAACGTACGGGATCTCTGGGCACACAGTGAGCAATAGTTTTTTATTATTTGGTTATTCTATTTGAGTTACACTTTACAATATGCAAAAATCCTCATAATGGTTTTAATTCTGGATGAATGAAATGCTCTGACTTGGGATCATAATTTATTTACATTTGGCTGAAATAATCCACTCCAAGTGGAAGATTCTCAAGAGAGCTTTTACAAATGTCCTGGGTAAGATTTGTCCAGAAAGAAGGAGACCCCACTCTCTCTAAAGTACTCAGGACTCAGCTTTGTAAGGACAAGGCTAATCCTGTTTGGTGTCTGTCCTATTACCCGGCCGAAAGTGGGGTCTTGAGCTGACTGCTTTCCCTTCAACCTTGAAGGGAAGCAGCAAGCAGCTAGGGATGAGGAACTAGAAGCAGTACTGGGCGGACGAAGGGATGGGGAGAGGTGGAGAAAAAGTCACACGGAAACACTGGCTCTCCCTGGTTCTCAGGCCTTCGGTCACACTGGAACCGCACCATCGGCTCTCTTGGGACTCCAGCTTGCTAATGTTCCAGCTGGCCCACTGAAGATCTCGGACTTCTCAGCCCCCATAACTGCATGAGCCAATTCCTTATTCCGTAAAATAAATCAACCCCCGTGTGCATGTGTGTCTGTCGTGTATATTCTGTTGGTTCTGTTTCTCTGGAGAACACTAATACCCCCCTACACCTATCCTGACAATGGTCTGGAAGTCGGGTCAGAGAGCAGCTTGCCACTGACCTCCTATCAGGCAAGCCCAGCTGCCTCCTGGGACCCCGGATCACCTGCACCCGCCCCAGCGTTCTAGGCATGGAAGTGGCAGCTACCATGTATTGAGCTTTTACTAAATCTACAAAATATTCTGAAATGACAGGTATCATCCCCATCTTACACACATGGAAACAGAAGTACAGAAATACATGCACGCTGCTGAAGGGCACACTTAGGGACACTGACAGCACTCAAACCCGGGGCCGTCGGAGTCGCTGCCCGTGCTCTTAACCCCCACTGCGTACGCCGCTCAGGATCCCAATGGACCAAGCCAGCTCTCCAGGCAAGACTCCCATTTCCCCCTGCTCCCCGGTAGTTCACACTGAACCCTTGGCACCAAGTCTTTGCACACATGGACTTTACGCCTTATTCTTTCCCACCTGATCTGGCTTTCTGGCCCGGGTCCCAGAGCACGAAGCCAGACACTGCACCACACTTTTTGGGACTGAGTCACCAGTCAATGGCCTCTGTGTGCCTCTCATGTTCTCTTTCTTTCAAAATGTAATAAGCACTTTAAAATGCACTAAACCACATCCTGGGACCAGTGTTGACATGCTCAATAGGAGGAAAATTAAACTCATATGCTCGCAACTGTTAAAGAGGACCGTGAGGTCTCCAAACGATGAGTAACTGCAGGAGGATACATCTGAGTGGCTACTGGAGGGATGAGTGCACTTGGCCAGGGTCAGGGGGAAGGGGTGGAGGGGAGGGGAGGGCTGTGGACAGGGGTTCCAGGCATGGTGCTGGTCATTTGCAGCCGGGTCTAGAACTGGATCCTGGTCTCTGTGGTCCTCCCATTCCTGAGATCTGAGCACCTCCACAGAAACATAGGCTCATGCACTGAATTTCACGTCCCGCAAATCCATATGTTGAAATCCTAACTCCCAGCACCACAGAGTGTGACCTTATTTGGATATAAGATCTTTCGAGAGGTGACTAATGAGATCATATGGGTGGGACCTAATCCAATGGCACTGGTGTCCTTATAAGAAGAGGACTATTTATAAGCCAAGGAAAGAAGCCTAAGCAGAAATCAGCCCTGCTGATACCTCGATCTCAGACTTAGAGCCTCTAGAACTGAGAGAGGGAATACATTTTTACTGTTTAAGCCACTCGACGTGTGATATTTATTACAGTGGCACTTGCTGACCCGTACAGAGAGTGACACACACATGGCTTGGCCAGCTGTGAAGTCACATCGTCTTCTGAGCTGACTCAGCCCCACGACCTCCCGAGGCTTGTCTGCTGCAACCCCAAAGGGTCTCCTGGTTGTCAGCCTCAGCTCAATGCAAATCCTCTGAACACAAGATGGGGCTGGCCTTGACAGTGATGCCCCAGAAGCAGCCAGCCAGCCAAGGAGGTAGAGGGCAGCGTAAGGGCTTTGCAGTCTAGGAGGGACGGCCGGATGAGCAGAGAAGGCACAGGGGCTGGAATCAGAGGGGCAGGGGTACACCCCACAACCCCAGCTCTAATCAGAGTAGCTCTTATTTTGTGTGTTATGTCTTGGACTTCTGCATCAGAGTTTGTTAGGAGGAAGGGCTCAGCTGCCTAAAAGCAAACTTTAAAACCACTGAACTTGAATGATTGTGAAGGCCTCTTCCTGTCCAAGAGACTCTACCATTATTCCTCATAAAGAGAAAAAAGAGAGACAAATTAACCCAGGCCTGTTCAGCAGGCCTGAACAACTCCACCCTTCAGTTGGCCTCCTTCTCAGGAGAGAAAGGCATTCGTCTCATATGTGATTATCTATTTGTTGGTAGAATCTTTGAAGGGATAGACCGTATCCTTAAGTTTAATTATAAATGTACCTGGAAAGATAATGAAATACCCAGGTCATTGAAAACTTGCCATTCCACCTTGCTTTCCTATTATCATGTGACCTGTGGTACTGAATCTCAGGAGGACTTTGGTGTTCAAGGCATCTACCTCCTTCTTCTGGGGTCCAAAAAAACCCACCCATGTTCTAGGTGGGTTCTGGCCCATTTTAGCAGAGGAAGGCAGCAGGTGTAAAATGCAAGCCAGTTTAAGACAATCGTTGCCAACAGCACTTTACCTTCCACTCATTTGTTCCAAAGGATCCTGCTCTAAGAAAATGATCTTCCACAAAATAGTCTCCTGAAATAATTAACATCTGAACGGGAAGGGGCTATTTTTTTCCCATATTGATGTATTCTGTTGCTAGGAGATGGGTTTGGAACAGAATTCCTAAATTAAACTTCCTTGCAGACTGACTTTTATTGAATCTGGCTCTCTAAGAGAACACACTGCATTTATCATGAGTGTCAGTGTGAAAAAACCTGTCATTTCTGAAGCTAGAAGACAATTAACAAGGTCAGCAAGTATATAATCCAGGCATCTTACCATCGTATGAAAATATGAGTATGTTGATGAGAGGCAGCTGCGCTGTGGGGGGAAAGTGTTATATTAGGAGGGAAAAACATCTAGGATTTGTCATTTACTAGCTATGCAACCTTGGAAGATTACTTATCTCAACCTTGATTTTCTCATCTATATGTGGGGACTATATTTTTTTTCGTAAATTTGTTGTGAAGTGTAGTTAGATACTGTACACAGAGGAATATTACTCAACCATTAAAAAAAACCCCGAAATCCTGTCATTTGTAACATGGATAATGCTAAGTGAAATCAGTCTCTCAGAGAAAGACAAATACCACAGTATTTCACTCATATGTGGCATTTAAGAAACAAACAAGCAAAGAGGGGGAAAAAGAGACAAACCAAGAAGCGGACTCTTAACTACAGAGAAAAAACAGATGGTTAGCAGAGGGGAGGTGGGGGGATGGGCAAAACAGGTGATGGGGATGAAGGGGACTCTTAATCATGATCAGCCCTGAGTAACATATATAATTATGAGTCACTATATTGTATACCCGGAACTAATATAACACTGTATGTTAACTACATTGGAATTTAAAAAACAAAACAAAACACTAGTGGAACTGTTTTCTGAGTCTGGTTTCCCTACTAGATTGTGTGAGCTCTCAGGACAGGGATAGGCAGTGCTGGCCCAAGGTAGGCATCAGAAATCAGCTCATGGAGGGAAAGGGAAAAAGGAGGGAGGGAGAGAGGATTTTCTTAAGTCATTAATAAAGCCAATTTCAAAAGAATTCCATAGAATTCTAAAGATGGCCAGAATGACGACAGTATCCCCGGAACTGATACATAGTTTCTGAAGGGGTCAAGGCTCACTTGGGTATTGATCCTCTGGCATGCTTGGTTTAAAAAAAAAAAAAAAAAGCAGGTCACTATCCCCCAGTGACTTCACTTTCTCCTTTAGGGTATGCATCCACTGCATGGAAAGGAAATACCAAATTTATTCAACTTTAAATTTTCATCTCTATATAAGTACCAGCAAAAGCTGGTCCTGCATCTGCCAAAGTATTTAAAATACAAATTTCTGTTCCACACAAAAATGCACGGGACTGAAGAACAGAATTTCTGCTGACATGTATAATAAGCTTCTTCAGTGTCCAAGGCTGGTTGGCAGAAACAAGAACGCAAAGAGCAAGTAACATGTATCTGCCGTCTAATCGAGTCAGCCACCAACAGGGCTTGGTATATGTTGGTGTTTTGGATTCTGAATACAGGCCTCCCATCTGATGTGTACATATTTAAGGATGAAACAACATGAGACGTTTACAACATATTTTTAAGTGGAAAAAAAGCAGGATTCAGAGTTGAATACAGAATAGAGTTATATTTATGCTTAAAAAAATACTAGAAAGTAGAACCACATTAAAATTGCTAATAGCAGGGGGCACCTGGGTGGCTCCGTTTGTTAAGGGTCTGACTTTTGCTCAGGTTCTGATTCCAGGCTCCCTGCTCAGCAGGAAGTCTGCTTCTCATTCTGCCCCCCAACCCTCGCTTGTGTGCTCTCTCTCAAATAAATAAATAAAATCTTTAAAAAATGCTAATAGCAGAATTATTTAAATGGGTAGCAAGCAGCAGGCAATTTGTTTTCTTTTGATTTTACACATTTTCTTTCCTTGGTAGATAGTACTTTTATAATGTAAACCCATCTGAAAATCCCCAAATTATATAAAACTGTTTTAGTTAACATGGATAGCTAGAAATCTAAACTGTCCGCAGTGTTATAGAATTTAGTACCTATTAGCACATTTGTCTTCCTGGAAACTCTAAGATGTTCATCTAAGAATTCCTTTCGTTTCCAGTTACCCACAGATCCTGGCTCCTTGTGCCGTTGTGTTTTCCGGAACCCTAAACAGAACAGTATTATTTACTGCTTTTGGCAAAATGGGAAAGGGGGGGGAACCTTAAAAAGCCCCAACCTGGGGGCACCTGTTGGTGGCTCAGTTGGTTAAGCGTCTGCCTTTAGCTGAGGTCTTCCTTGCAGGGTCCTGGGATCCAGCACCGTATCAGGCTCCTTGCTCAGCGGGGAGCCTGCTTCTCCCTCCCGCTGCTCCCCCTGCTAGTGTGCTTGCTCATTCTGTCTCTCATGAATAAATAAAATCTTAAAAAACAAAAATCCCCACCCCAAAGATCCCCTTTCCTTCCACAGCTCCCTCCATGCATGCACGTCCTTAGGTTCCAGGCAGAGCTCTGGGGCAGGGACCACACTTACCGAGACCCTCTCACGTGCTTGTGTATGAAGTCAGCATGGAACCGTGGGACCAGCGGATCCTTCTCCCCGTGCACGATCAAGGTGGGGCACTGAACCAGCTGCAGCAAGTGCCCACAGATATTCCCTGCAGACAAACAGCACTGAGACTCTGCTTCCCTGTGACCATCCCGCGAGGGGAGTCAGAGGAGCAGCAGAGAGCTGGGGCTCATCCTGCCTTCCTCTGGGCCTTGATGCCCTGTCCCTAAAAGAGGTGGTCTGCATTAGACAGGGTCTGAGGGATCTTCTAGCTCTCACAATCTGTGGGCCTCCTTTTCTGGTTCTCTGCTGGGTTTCTTTATTCCCCGCCCCCCTTGGAAAGCTCTGCTAGTAAACAAGCAGTTTTGCCTGATTATATGCATAATGCATGCAAGACAGGAAAATAAACAAAGAACCTCACAAGTCTTTATATTATGGAGAGCAGTCCCCAGTTTGCAAAAGGAAGGCAGGTGCTTGGCATCTGAAAAGCTTTCCCTTGAGGGGCGCCTGGGTGGCTCAGTGGGTTAAGCCTCTGCCTTGGGCTCAGGTCATGATCTCGGGGTCCTGGGATCAAGCCCCGTATCAGGCTCTCTGCTCAGCAGGGATCCTGCTTCCCTTCCTCTCTCTCTGCCTGCCTCTCTGCCTACTTGGGATCTCTGTCAAATAAATAAAATCTTATAAAAAAAAGCTTTCCCTTGAAATAATGCCCTAAATGGTCCTTGGGGCTCCAGCCAGCCCTCAGAGCTTCTGTATCTCCTGGGAAGTTATAATTTACACATGGTAAATGGGCTTCTCTTCATTCCTCCTGCCTCCATGACGTTCCTGACTGACCAACTCTGGGGACAATAAGGCCCCCCTCTCCATTTGTAACAACATTTCTAAGGCAGATGAGGAACATCCCGGCTCCGGTCCATCTTGCGGTTTCCTGGATGGGAAATCTCGGTGGTTCCTCAGGGATGAGTTTCAGCCTCCTCCCTGGTCAAAGAGGGGACAGTTCAAGTTCTCTGCAGTGGCCGTGAGGCCAAAAAGATATGTCCGATCTACAGTTCCGGGCAGCGGGCAGGTACTCCATAAAGGGAGCTCCTTCCTCCTCTGCCTCCTCCCGGGGGGTCACTGGGGCCCTGAGAAAGCGGGGAGCCAGCTCACTGGGGTGCTGCTCAGGCACCTGGCCTGTCCCTCCCCCTCAGTGGCCGGGGCAGGGGGCACGGCCTGCTGAATGAGAAAATGATGGGTTGGCCCAAGAAACACTTCTCTAGGACTCAGAAGCTGCCCTCTTCTGTCCCTGGGATGACACACACCTGCTAACCGCATGCTCAGAGGACGGAGAGAGCACTCATTGCTGAGCACTATGGGTCAGACACTGTTCACGTGCTTTGATGCTCACGAAACACGGCCTTACCTGCTTTAGCTCACGTGGTCTGTACAACTATTGGCAGACTCAGTACTTTTATAATAAGGGTCCTAATAACCTTTCATCAAGCGCTGACCCTGTACTTGGTAGGGCACCACAGCTGAATGTGCAGAAGCCCATTTGGTCCTCACAGCACCTTACGGGGTAGTTCTTAGCTTCTTCGGTTCACAGACAGGGAACAGAAGCTTGGAGAAGCTGAGGAGTCTGCCCGTCACTCTGACAGCAACCAAGCGGCGAGGCCAGACCTCACACCCAGGCCTGTCTGACTCCTTAACCCCTACGCTAAACTGAACATCCAAGAATGTTCTAAGAATAATTTCAAACAATTATGAAAAAAGGGCTCCTATCAAATTAATGAGTGTGGAGGGGAGAGAAATAGTTTACTCACGGACTTGCTGCAAGATCATTTATACACCGCTAACTCCTCTGTGTTTTGACCTATTTCCCCTCTCTTTCTTTTTTAAAAAAACTGTATTTGAGGGGCGCCTGGGTGGCTCAGTGGGTTAAGCCGCTGCCTTTGGCTCAGGTCATGATCTCAGGGTCCTGGGATCGAGTCCCGCATTGGGCTCTCTGCTCAGCAGGGAGCCTGCTTCCCTCTCTCTCTCCCTCTCTCTCTGCCTGCCTCTCTGCCTACTTGTGATCTCTGTCAAATAAATAAAATAAAAATCTTAAAAAAAAAAAACTGTATTTGATTTTTTTAAAATTTCAGGTTTACAGCATAATTGAGTGGAGGGTTCAGGGATCTGCCCTGTCCCCCAGCTCCCCACATGCACAGCCTTCCCCACTAATACCACCACCCACCAGAGTGGGACATTTTTATAACCGATGAACCTGCATGGACAGACACGTCATTGTCCCCCAGAGTTTGGAGTTTATGTTGGAGTTCACTCCTGGTGGTTGCACATTCTGTGGGTTTGGCCAAATGTGTAGTGACATGTAGCCATCACTATGGGATCATAGAGTGTCTTCCCATTCCTGAAACTTCTGTTTTAGACATTCTAACAGGTGAGTACTGGGATCTTATTATTTGACTCGACTTTTAATGAGGTTCTTTTCTCACTGTTCAGTTTTAAGAGTCTGTGTGCATTTGGGTAACAGTGCTTCCTGAGACACGCCTTTTGCCAATATTTTCTCCCAGTCTGTGGCTTGTCTTCTCATACTCTTGACAGGCTCTTTTGCAGAAGGGACGCTTTAAATTTTAACAAACATAGGACATATTTTTGAGCTGCTGATTTAATTCTGCTTCTACCCTTGAGTCTTCCTACCCCCTTCACTCCCCAGTCAGGAAAGCTTAAAAGTTTACATTTCAAAAATTTGCCTTCTTTAATGGAGGACTGTCTTAGACATTTTTTATGGCATTTTTTTGTTTTAAGAGCTGAGGGAGACACATTTTTCAAAGACCTGCTTCCACGGTTGGGTACTGCCCTGGAACAGGACATATTTGCTGTTTTGAACTTGAACCAGAAAAGTAACATTTCCAAATGTCCTTTTCATTGTGAAAGTTTTGATAGGTGACTCACTCTGGAAATGATTACCTAATAGATCAAACTGGTCCTTCAGCAGTCGCCATTTTGTCACCAATGAGCTCCCAGATTCGATCTTAGTTCCCCCGCTTTTCTTTCAGCAATTAAAGTAGAAGAGTGAGAGATAAGCACTATAAAACTACTGAAAAACAGCTACTGAAAAACACTTTACTTCAGAATTTCTCTTAAATGATGTCAGTTCTTCCTGCAACTGGAAATCATTTTAATTTTTCAGCTGAAGACAGGGAGTTACAGTCACATAACCAAGTTCTGAAGGTGGGTAATAAACTGAACGTTCTTCCTCAGGCTAATTCTGCTGGGGCTGAAGGTCATGACACAAAGGCCCTTCTTTTTTGTCCTGGGAACAGAGGATACAGCAGGGTAATGGGTCTAAATGTGAAAAAAAAATGTAGTACACACGACAGCATGTTTGTTTTCTGACGACCCACTCCAGAATTAGAAAGAAACAAACGCTATTTGAGGCTTCTGGAGAATGTCTGTCATCATACACACAAAGGATCAGAAGGAGAAAGGAACTGTCTGCTATTTAAGACTTCCCACCGTGAACCCTGATACATGGAGCAGGTGTGTACATACAGCGTCGCTAAGGCGGATTTATTACACAAGAGCGTGTATGGTGCACCATCACTGGCATCCTCTGTTGGCACATCAGCGTGTAAGGACAGTGGCTTAGTGCACTCATCGCCAGGGAATTCTGGAATACCAGGGGAGGAACGCAAGCAAAGGGACAGCTAAACAGTTCACATAACCTACCATCTGGGAGATGTTTGAATTGATTTATGCCATCCACCCACTTCTCACAGGTTTTGGCAAAGTAGTCATAGCCATATAAGGTTTCGAGAGGTTTTCTTGTTTTCTCACTCCACTTAGAAACATCTCGGATACCTGAAAAATAGAAGTATTGACAAGAACAGGTCTAGTCTAGGGGCGCCTGGGTGGCTCTGTCAGTTAAGCATCTGCCTTCGGCTCAGGTCATGAGCCCCGAGTCCCGAGATTGATTCTCGTGGGGCTCCCTGCTGAGTGGGGAGTTTGCTTCTCCCTCTCCCTCTGGCCCTCCCCTCTGCTCATGCTCTCATTCCCTCTCTCAAATAAATAAGATCTTTAAAAAAAAAAAAAAAGAACAGATTTAGTATAATGATAAGTAAGGTTTATCTTTAATATCTTTAGATTGATAAATTTATTTTAATTAAATTATTTTAATTAAATTTAATTAAGAATTCAATTAAAAAATAAAATATCTTTAAATATTGCAAATACAGTCCACTCCAGAGCCATGTTTGTTCTCACATGGCTTACTCCTCACCTCACCCAGGTCAGTGAGGCTTTCCCTGACAGCAACCCCCAACACATACCCAGGCACACAGAGCACCCTCCCTCCATCTACTCTGCTTAGCACCGATTAGTGCTTTGTAGCATTTAATGTGTCCATGGCCGAGTTTCTGTCTCCTTACTAAGACAAAAGCTCCAGCATAAGGAACTTGGCTTTGTTTTGTTTCCCACTTATCCCCAGAGCCTAGACCGGTGCCTGGTACAAAAGAGGCACAAAATAAGTTTTACCCACTAAATGAAATTAGATCTGCATTTATGCTTTCTGTTAAAGATATATAAAAAGATTTTCCCCAATTAGAGTTAACTGAGTAAGACTGACATGATTTATAAAAGGTTTTTTCTGAAGTGTGTTCAGGTACACTAAAAACAGACAAATTATTCATTCTAGTTTCTGCTTCTGAAGAAATATGGGTATAAAAGGCTAACTACAAACTTGAAACTATATTATGGATGATTCACTCTCAGAAAAGGAAATAACAGACCAGCTGGGTGGCTCAGTCAGTTAAGTGTCTGGCTTTGGCTCAGGTCATGATCTCGGGGTCCTGGGATCCAGCCTCGTGTCTGGCTCCCTGGTCAGTGGGGAGTTTGCTCCTCCTTCTCCCTCCACCCCTCCCTGTGCTTGTGCTTTCTCTCAAATATATAAACAAATAAATCTTCAAAAAAATAAAACTTGGGGTGCCTGGGTGGCTCAGTAAGCGTCTGCCTTTGGCTCAGGTTATGATCCCAGGGTCCTGGGATCGAGCCCTGCATTGGGCTCCCCGCTCAGTGGGAAGCCTGCTTCTCCCTCTCCTACTCCCCCTGCTTGTGTTTCCTCTCTCCCTGTCTCTCTCTGTGTCAAATAAATAAATATTAAAAAAAAAAACAACTCATGAACAAACTCAATTACTCAGCCCACTCTTTTCTATATTTCTTTAAACACACTGATAATTCTAATGCTTCTGGGTCTGACAATGCTTAATGTCAGCTTTTAACATGGTGCTTCTCCTACACAACATACCTCAAAAGACAACACATGACTAATGACATGAATTCATACTGAAAATAACCCCTCCGCAGAGCTCCCGACAGCGCGAGGACCCGGGCAGGCAGCTTGTATGCACTCAGTGAATGCAGATTACAGAGTGGAGGGAAAAGTGCTGTTTACAACCACAACTGGCAGATGCTGTGACAGCCAGCACCAGATCGGTACCCGCCTGCAGAGGTAGGCCCGGCGGTGCACATGGAGGCCGAGGGGAGCTGAGCTGCTCTGCACAGGAGTGAAAAGACTTCACAGAGGGGCGCAGAGAAGTCTGGAAATTAAGAGCAGACAGAAGAGATCTGGGAAGAAGAAAAAGGAGAGCTGGAAGAGGGGAGAGGAAAGAGGAGCCAGCAAGAGGTCATAAAGATGGCCAATAAAGAAATCTCCCACAGGTATTTCTACTTTGGGCTCTATTGCAGACCACATCCTCTGCAAGGTGCCCTTGCAGGGGAATGACTATTTTTTTTTTTTTTTAAGGTAGGCTCCACGCTCAATGTGGAGTGCAATGCAGGGCTTGAACTCATGACCCTGAGATCAAGACCTGAGCTGAGATCAAGAGTCAGTACTCAACAAACTGAGCCACCCAGGTGTCCCTATGACTAGACTGTTCATAAAACATATTTACTGTTGCATTGTTGGAGTTGCAGCAATTAATGGAAACTATCATATGAAGGTGTGTGTGTGAGAAAGAGAACCTAAGAAGAGAGCAAAGAGTGGTAAGACTACTCAAAAGGCAGGGTTGCTTTTGGGGGAAATGGAACTGGTAGTTGGGACTGGGTGGGTAGAGCCAAATCTGAGATTTCTAGATTAAATGGAGATGAGAATGGCCCCAACCTGGTATGATCCTGTGCTTCCCTAGGGTAGCAAATGTAAATCCTCTCTGAAGGAAAGTATCATCAATTTGTATGCATGGTCTTTGTGTGTGTGTGTGTGTGTGTGTGTGTTTTCAGATTAAGAGTAAGCCAATATTCGATGGTAATCACATGTCACAAAACAATCAGAATCTTCATAAAGCTAATGAAAAAGCTAGAATACTGGAAGAGAAAGCTTGAGAAAAGATGCAGCCCACCACACAGAGAGACAAGAAGATGAATGAGAGACAGGGAAGATGGGAAGGCAAGGCCCACAAAGTCCAATCAGTCCCAGATGGGGGAGAGTGAGGGAGAGTGGATGAGAACAGAGGAGATGCAGTACAGAAGGGAGGATATAGGCAAGAATGATTCCCAGAATTGATCAAAGATAAAGGTCCACAAACAAAAATTTATGTAACCCAAACTGGATAAATAAAAAGGAATTCGCATCTAGCCCCACAATAGTAAAATAGCAATACCTCAAGGAGAGAGAGAAAAAACCTGGAAAACAGCCAGAGATGAGACACATCACTCCAGAGGGGGGAAAGCTAAACGGGCAAAACTTCTCAACAGCGGTCGAGGAAGGCAGAAGACCGTGGAATGGCGGAGAAAATAATCTGCCATTTATATTTCTGCACTTAGCCAAATAATCTTTCAAGAATGAGTGTGGAATCAAAGACATTTTGAGGTGAAAACGGAGATCACTATTAACAGAGCTGCCCTTCAAAAATGAACTATTGGGACTTCATCAAGATCAAAAGCTTTTGCACAGCAAAGGAAACAGTTAACAAAACCAAAGACAACTGACAGGATGGGAGAAGATATTTGCAAATGACATATCAGATAAAGGGCTAGTATCCAAAATCTATAAAGAACTTATCAAACGCAATACCCAAAGAACAAATAATCCAATCAAGAAATGGGCAGAGGACATGAACAGACATTTCTGCAAAGAAGACATCCAGATGGCCAACAGACACATGAAAAAGTCCTCCATATCACTCGGCATCAGGGAAATACAAATCAAAACCACAATGAGACACCACCTCACAGCAGTCAGAATGGCTAAAATTAACAAGTCAGGAAATGACAGATGATGGCAAGGATGTGGAGAAAGGGGAACCCTCCTACACTGTTGGTGGGAATGCAAGCTGGTGCAGCCACTCTGGAAAACAGTTGAAAACAGAGCTACCCTACGACCCAGCAATTGCACTACTGGGTATTTACTGTAAAGATACAAACGTAGTGATCCGAAGGGTCACGTGCACCTGAATGTTTATAGCAGCAATGTCCACAATAACCAAAGTATGGAAAGAACCTAGATGTCCATCAACAGATGAATGGATAAAGAAGATGCAGTATATATATACATATACAATGGAATACTATGCAGCCATCAAAATAAATTAAATCTTGCCATTTGCGATGATGTGGATGGAACTAGACAGTATTATGCTTAGTGAAATAAGTCAATAGGAGAAAGACAACTATCATATTATCTCACCGATAAGAGGAAGTGGAGATGCAATGTGGGGGGTTTGCGGGGGCAGGAAAAGAATAAATGAAACAAGATGGGATTGGGAGGGAGACAAACCATAAGACACTCTTAATCTCACAAAACAAACTGAGGGTTGCTGGGGGTAGGGGGGTAGGGAGAGGGTGGCTGGGTTATGGATACTGGGGAGGGTATGTGCTATGGTGAGTGCTGTGAAGTGTATAAACCTGGCGATTCACAGACCTGTATCCCTGGGGCTAATAATACATTATATGTTAATAAAAAAAAATCAGAACTGCCCTTGAAAAACTTCTAAAAAATAACTCGAGGAGAAAGAGAAGTGAGCTTGGGAGGAATATCTGAGACGAAAGAAGGAAAGGGGAGTCAAGAAACTGACAAACATGTCCGTAAGAGTGAAAACACACAAACATACCAAGCTAATGAGAAAACAGAATGCTGGAACATTTTTTTACTTTAATATTAGTTCTGTCTGTAAAGGAAGCGAAAGGATAAGGCACAAGCTATGCTGCCTAAGGACCAAGGCAATTAATAACCAGCAAGGGGCTAATCAGACTGTCCAACAGCAAACACTCTGCAAATCAGTAACACCATAATAATATTGGAAGTGGTCTAGTCTCAGGCTGGGTGGAGGGTCCTTGGGTGTATGTCCTGTTGTTAGACTTCACACGGTATGCCTATTAAACAAACCGTTTTAAAACTTTTATGTAACCTTTTATACATATAAATCAACAAGAAGAAACAAAACGACATGAGTAGGTACAATACAGGAGAAGAAACCACAGTGGTGCATACATGCGTAAAAAGATTCTCAATCCTATTAGAAAGAGGAAGATGCAAATTATGTCCCCCAGTAAGGTACCATTTCACATCCGCTAAGAAGTCTGATGATTCCAAGGTTTTGTTGAGGATGTAAATTAAGGAATCTAATACACTGGTGGTGGAAATGCATTTATGTAGTTGGAAAACAGCTGGTCACTTGCAACATGGTGTATTTGCATACAACAATATTCAGCAAATCTCACATATGGGCCTATACCCCAGATGGACACTGTGGCTCATAGGCCCCAGGAGATATGTGCATGCATGTTCACAGCGACAGTGAAAACAGACCCACAGTCCATAGATAAAAGAGATGGAAAATAAAATACTGCTGCCCAATACAGCAGTATCA